TGGGAAGGTACCCAGCAGGGGGAAGAGCTGGGTCATATGGGACCTCTAATCCTAGTTCTTTGAGGTATCTCTATACTGACTTCCATAGTGGTTGCACCAGTCTGCACTCCCACCAACAATGGAGAAGGGTTCCTTTCTCCCCACAACCCCGCCAGTTTTGTCAGTAGGTTCTTACTATATTACACAATATGTACTTAACAGGAACATAAAATATCAATAAAGTATTAAATTTTTAATATCTACTGTACATTTAGAATAACCATCAACATTTTCACATCAGCTGTGTACTTCTTACAAAACCTAAAAGATAACATCAGAAATAAAAAGCTATGTGAACTACAAACAAAAATCTACCACAGAAATAACCTTTGTTTTAACTGTCACACCCAAGGCAGTCTTCACACATGAAAACTGCATGCTTTGTATACAAGTATTGCTTACACTGATAGCACGTATGTTTTTGTTTTCCTGTCCTTTCTTGTAGGGCACAGTTGACATCTTTTTGATTTTCCTGTTGTAGTAGGTCTTTGTGATACTATGCCTGCCTGTTCACCTGTCAGCTCACCAGTGTGCTCCACAGTTTTTTTGCGTAGTTCCCTGGGCAGAACCATTTTGTTTTCCCTGTGATGTAAATGATCACTTATGAGTTCCAGTGCTAATCCTCTCAGAAAATTTCTCCATGGTATTTTGCACTTGGTTATTTTCTTTGTAAACTATCAAACTGTTTATGTTACCCCTGTTTAGGGTTGAGTAAAACACAACCATTGACCGATGCTTTGTGTTTTGAATGACATCATAGTTGCTGCGTACTAAATTTCTACTCTGCCTTTGGTTTTGTTGTAGAAAGTTCCCATCTCAGGCTTCCATTTTGTTGTTTCCCTATCAGTATATCCATCATGGTGCAATGTTGACATCAGCAGGACCAGTTTGTTTTTCTTTGCTATATGAAGCCATTGTAAATCTTTCTGAAATCCACAGATTGTACTATACAATTCTCTGCTTTTGAAATTGCAACATTTCATTTGTAATATCTTCTTTGTTCCTGTGCGCAGTTCCTACACTGGTCAACTTTGCTCTGTACGCAAATGTAACATTGATTGGAAATGGGTAAACCAATTGTCAAAAGTCACATTCAGATTAGGTTGGGAGATGGGAGCAACAAGTCTGTTCACAACATCATTCAGTTTATCACCATATGAATAAGGACCTGGTGGCTGAGTTTCAGGATAAATATCTAAGTTGAAAGCATAATAAGTCTTCGTACCTGCAAGAGCTTACATTTTTATGCTATATTTTGACCCATGTCTTTTTGATAAATCTTTTACATTCCTGTGATTACCATGAGAAATCCCTGCTCAGTACAGCAGACCTATGAATGCTTTCAGTTCAGCTAGTGAGGTGTCATAATAAATAACATTTTTGAATGTAGCTGTTGGTGCACACAGGACATTTTACTTGTATTTCAGCCTTTGTGTATTTCACAACATCTTGTAGCATTTCATCTGTTACAATTTTCAATATTGAATGGCAGTGCTGCCATTCTGTCCAATAGGTTTCACCCCTGCCAACATCCTCACTATGTTTTTGGAACTGATTTTAATATTGGATTGTTCCATTTGCTTGTGTGGCCATTGCAACATTTGACTAGTCAAATATGCACTCACATTGCTGTTTTCTTCATTATCTGAATTGAGGTCTGCATTTCCTGTACCTGTATCAGTTGGTTCTTGCTCCATTTCACTGTCACAGATACTTTGGCTCACATGGCCAACATCATAGTCTTTATCATCATCATCATCCATGTGTGAGTAATATGATGATTCACTTTTGCCTTTCTCCAAAACTTGCAAATCTGGTTTTTCATGTGCCATTGTTCTGAATTGGGCTACTTCTACCAGAAAAATC